AGCTGACTGTCTCCAAAATCATGTGCTCTTATTAAGTAGCATAATGTGTGGTGCCTTATCAAACGCCATCTGAAAATTAAAAAAAATTACATCCAATGCTTCCCTTCAACGAGACATCATATTCTTATAGCTTGATGCAGTTGACCACCAGTCTGAATGGGCTAGGAACTGGACTATCTGTGGTTACGTAAGGGTCTAAAAGACACTAGCTGTACATCAAAAATGCCCACACTGATACAAACCTACTTAAGACTACATTACTGCACAGCAGCATTTTCCATTACTTTGAAATCAAAGCAACTGAGTTTTCAATATATAAAACATTAAGCAGTTTTCCATATACTCCTGTATCTGCAGCTTGCAGAGCTGTTAGCAAGTTGAGTAGGAAATAGTCAGACAGCATGGAACCAGATCCATCAGTCCAATTTGTCCATGCCGGCCAGGTATCCTAAACTGAACTGGTCCCATTTACCTGCATCTGGCCCATATCTCTCTAACCCTTTCCTATTCATATACCTGTTCAAATGTCTTTTAAATGTTGTCATCGTACTTGCCTCTACCACTTCCTCTAGCAGCTCAGTTCATACACACACCACCTTGTGTGTGAAAAAGTTGCTCCTCAGATCTCTTTTGAATCGCTCCTCGCTCACCTTAAACTTACACCGTCTAAGTCTTGGACTTCCCTAAATCTAACCATTTCAGGTGAGTGGCATAGTACCTGAAACAGACAAGAGACTGTTATTTAAAAATAACAGACTGAAAAGAGTTTTATTTCTAGGATTAACTCATTCATCTCAGAATACACTGCATTAAAAGCTTTACTTCATTGACTGACTGACCCCACCCCTCTACCAAACACCACCACCGACACTACGAATGACTGAAGTACCTGAGAGGAAACTGTCTTGTTACAATGCAATTGGGAAATTTTAGTTTTGGTGCTCCATGCTTAAAGGAGGAGAATAAAATTAGAGATAAGTTTTTACACAGTACAATTGACATATAATGAAAGTAAAACATGAACAATAATGACAGACAATGCCAATTTCCAAAATTAAAACTGACGTGCATAAAAGAGAAAATAAAAATGCTGTTATAAAGATGTCCAAATATTGTACATATTTAATTTATCTAATTTATATACTATATTGTGTCACATTAGCCTAGCTAATGCTATTCTCACCTCTGGTTCAGAAAGTTGCATATTGAAGAAGGACATAGAGTAGTGGACAGGCATATGGCTAATGATACAACAGAGTATTTTTATAGAAAGAATAATAGATTCAATACAAGTTAAATGATACAATAGTAAAGGGACGTAAGAATATAGAAATCTGGTTAAGCACACAATTCTTTTGAAGGTAACAAGTTGAAAAGGCTGTTAAAAGCAACTTTGGGATCCTAAGCTTCATAAATAGAACAAAGCTATACAAAAGCAAAGTATTAATGCTAAAGAGGTAGTAAGAACTGCCGATGCTGGAGTCAGAGATTACACAGAGTGGAGCTGGAGGAACACAGCAGGCCAGGCAGCATCAGAGGAGTAGGAAAGTTGAAGTTTCGGGTCAGGACCTTTCTTCAGAAATGGTAAACGATAATGCTAAATCTTTAGAAGACATAGTTAAGCCGCAGGTTGAGTACTGTGCCCAATCTTGGGCACCAAACTTTAGGAAGGATTTACTACAATGACATCAGGATTGTTACATTTCAGCTTTGAGAGGATACTTCAAGCAGTTTGGGCTGTATTCGCGACAACACAGAAGGGTAAGAAAAGAATTGAGAGAGATGTTTAAAATTATGACAAGCTTTGATCAGACTAAATAGGGATGCACAGGACTAAATGGTACATTTATAGGCTAAGTTTGAGTTGTGTCAGGTTTTTTGGAGAATTTGGTGCAGCAAAGCCTAAACAGTTCTCTTGCCATATCTTACAAAACTCATCTCATTAACTGTATACCATGCCCCATGTCCTGTGTCTAATGTCCAATTTCCACCCAATCTTACCACATGCCTTTCCCAGAACAACTCACCACTCTGCAGATATCCCAGAATTCACTGGAATCCCTTCCGCAAGTGTCATTCTTAGAAGCTTGTTGTGCACCTGAATGAACACTACTGATTTGCCCTGCACATTTGCTGATATTTGCCCTGGACATGGCAAGGCAAGTCAGCACTCTGCTTTATGGACATGGTCCTGGGAGTCTTTCTGAACAGGATGGTACTGACGCAGGTCTTCCTTTTCCCTCAGGGCCAACAATGAATGCCACAACACCAAACAATGCCAGTCTGAATCAAGGTTACCACCAGGTTGGATGTCTGGAAGAACGCCCAGTATGGTAAGAAGAACTCTCTACTCCACCAGGATAAGTGCCACCATCTTTTCTCCAAGGCTTCACACTAACACCATCTCTGCTACAGTACCTACCTCCTTACAAAGTTCATGCTCTGCCACTCTCACTACTGCCTGCAATGTCATTCCAACCTGCTCTCAGTCACCAATCCCTGACACTATTAACTATGCACACCCTCTGCTCTGCCTACCTGCACCAATTGTAATAGCTCTGCCACTCACTTTCATCTGCAGTAAAACATTCCTCTCTCTCATCCCATGAGGAAAACAAACCACATTACTGTAGAAAGTCAAGACCAGTGGTGTGATGCCTGTTGTTTGCCTCCTCACCTCTAATCAGAGTCTGCTCTTGACTGAGTATGCCAGGAACTCCGAAAGCGAACACGTTCCCCCTGACTTGACAGGTCTCTGACAGCTATGACAAGCTGCCTATCTTTGTGCCTGCCCTAAACAGCACAGTAATACAAAAGTAATAGGACACTTTTATCTCTGCCTGAGAGGTCAAAGCAAGACAACACAAGGTAGGGATAAAAAGGTGTAGAGCTGGATGAACACAGATTCTCCAGCATCGGCAGTTCCTACTATCTCTGACAAGGTAGGGATGCTGTGAACATTCAGGTAAACACAAAAGAGAGCAAATAAAAAGCCTGGATATGTAGTATGGTTCAAGTCATGGGTTGTGTGGGAACCTAGTTGCAGCATTACAAAGATTGCTGCCAGTGGAGCCTGAGGTTTGATATTTAAGTGCAGAAGCGTCTTTTAATTGGTTTGTGCCACAAGAGGTCTTAAAGGCTGGCCTGTCAGATGCCAATGTCCATGGTCATGGGGTGCATGTGGCTGGTGCCCATGGACTGTGCCCTGAGATGTTGGTGCTTAGTTTCCAACAAGTATGTAGTTTGGGGCAATTACTCATCTGAATCCACTAAGTGATCACTTTGGCTTTATCGGGTTTTTATGTTACCTAGCTTGTTTGGCAAGATGGGACACTGAATATTAATGAGGTGAATTGTGATGTTAAAAAGGCATTTAACAATCAATAATAACCATCTGTTGACATTTAGCCGCTGTTTAGAGAGAATCCTGCCACACTGCTTGTGAAAATCATAAAAGACGGAGCAAGATGAACGTGACACACTTATCACCTGATTCTACCACACATCAATTTAACACACGTCGCTCAGACCCCAATAAGATTCTGTCCACTCCTTCCAGTGACAGAAGGTTGGTAATCAGAAAATGAAAAATTTTATGCAAGCAAATTAATTAGTAACCTTCAGGAGGAAATTCTATAAATACTTGTTGAGGAAAAGAATGGCAAGTCAATGGGAAAATAACAGATCAATTGGATTGCTTTTCCAAGGAGCTGGCACAGGCACAATGGGTTGAATGGTCTTCTATGCTATACAACTTTATGATTCAGGTGTAAAATTAGAAATTGAGCTGTGAATCAAAAATGGCAGTCGACTGCACATAGAAAGAATGCAGCACAGACATGGATGCTACACCGACCATTCAGCCCTGACCTCTGTATCTGCATCTGTAAACTGAGTTCCAACATCGAATATTGATTCCATCTAACTGTCCTCCAGTTTAACCTGAAGACTGAAGTTATCATTGTTGACATCCTCTATAAAGATTTTCTTGAATGCATTCTTCTCTCGGCCATCACTTCATACTAAATGAGATTTTTTAAAATTTCAGAATACTGATTCACCGTGCAGTTGAGGTATCAAATACATTTCCTTTCCAGCATAGACTACACCCATCCATTACTGGAACACTAATTCTTTCTGTACCTAACTTAGTCAATACTGATATGTCCTGATCGGTCATTGTCAGTGTTAAAATGTTTATTAAGTGGCAAAGTGTCCTGAGGAAAAAAGGGTGCCAAAGAAGGGCCATACTGAAACTCTCTCAGAGATAGTAAGGACTGCTGATGCTGGAGTCAGAGTTAACACAGTGTGGAGCTGGAGGGGCACAGCAGGACAGGCAGCATCAGAGGACTAGGAAAGTTGACATTTCGGGTCAGGAACCTTCTTCACACTGTGTTGTCTCATACTGAAACTCTTTTCTCTCTATTGATGAGGGGGGAGGCAGAAAGAGACAGAGAGAGACAGACAGAGACAAAAAAAAACCTTTTCTAGTCACCTGGATGAGGTCTGACAATAGTCCTGAGAAGATATGAGAAAAGGTGTGAAAAGTTCATGTCAATTCAATTTTGTCCCAATACCATCCCATAAACTGACCCTTGGAAGAGCAACCCTGCCATCTTGCTCTGACTTTTTAGTGTCCACAACATACGTTGAATGGCTTCTATACATAAGATTAACCATTAATTATCAAATTATAACCATTTTAATTTGTTTTATTCATGTCTACTTGAAATGAGGTTGGGAAACCTGCTTCCCACTTCACAAAGAACTTTTATAGCTATCAAATTTAAAGAAAAATTTTCCTGCCTTAATCAGCATTATATTTCAAGCCAGATTTTAGAAGGGAGTAAGATATTTTCAAAAACAATAATAAACTTTCAGTTGTTTGAAACTTTTTAAAACTAAAAAGCCAACAAATCAACTGATTTTGAATTATCATGATGCACTTTATGTCTTAAATAAAAGAGCATGCAAAATCAAACATTATGTTCACATCTTACCAATTACTGCATAGTTTTTCTTGTCTTCTATATCCACTGCTATGTCATGCATGTCAGCATATGCCCGTGCTAATCGCCATAGAAATTCCACTTGGTCCCAAAACTTGAAACAACAAACAGTATTTATTGTGTATCTGTTGTGTCTTTTACATTTTACCATTAAATAGTACATTCAGCAATTCTTGAAAACAACTGCAATGTAAGGAACGAAAAAGCAGAGTCAATCTAAACATGCCTAGTACGATTAATTTGATCCTAAAATGGTCTAAATTTATTAATAACTACATTGTTTAAATGAAAATATTTTAATGTCATATTGGAGTATTAAAAAAAGGGCCTGTTGATGCCCATTTAATATCATAGCATAGAAATGATATTATTGGACTAATAATCTAAAGATTTGGAGTGACAATCCAATGACCACATATATACTTACTTTTAAAGAAAAGAATGTGGAATAAAAAAAACTGGTATTAGAAAAATAAATCATAAAAAAATTTAGCCAACTAACTGTGAATCATCGACAGCATTCAAATCATGAGAATGATTTCATTGGAGGCAGATCAGAAAATGTTCACAAGCAAGATCCCTGGTATGGAGGGGGTGTCTTATGACAAAAGCTTAAACAAGGTGGGACTCCATTCATTGGAATTTGGAAGAATGAGAGGTGATATCATTGAGACATATCAGATTCTTCACAGGGTAATTGCTGAGTGGATGTTTCCCCACATGGGAGAGTCTAAGAGGGCATAGTCTCAGAATTAAGGGACGCCAATTTAAGACTGAGATGAGGAGGAACTTCTCTTTGGAACTTCTTGTCACAGAAAGCTGTGAGAGCAGAGTCCTTGTGTATATTTGAGGCTGAGATAGATAGATTCATGATCAATAGCAATCAAAGATTATAGGGAAAGGGCAGGAAAGTAGATATGAGGAGTGTCGAATCAGACATGAACCTATTGAATAATGGAACAGTTGAGAAGTCAAACAGCTGACTCCTGCTCCTGTTTTTTATGGTCTCATGACTATGAAAATTTATTCAAAAAAGGCTAGCTGCAAGCAAAAGACTCTGTGAGGACATGAGAAAGGTTAGAAGTGTAATGTTTCAAAGAAGAAAGGGAGGAGAACAAAAAATGTACAAAAGCAAAATTCTGTGATAAAGTGGAAGGCAAGAGAGATAAATGTTAGAGTTGAAATGAAAGATAAGTAATGGTAATTAAACAGTGGAGCAAATTTGAGCTTATTCCAACATGTACTTCTCACGTCCTTAATAGATTCAATGCCCTCACAGGGAATGACCAAGGCTATGGTCAGCAGAAAAGCTAAAATTATCAATGAATTCTACATTGCCCTCATTAAAAATCCCTTCTGACATATATGATTCAGATAACCTAAGCCTGTACCTCTTGGTTCCCTACTGCTCCTCACTGTAACCCTCCTCTAGTACCTTTCTTCTTTAAAATACCATAGGATTACCTTCTGGAAAGGCAGTCGTGGAAGAGAAGAAAGTTAAATGCAGGGAGACAGTGATGAGAAAAAAAGAATACAGTCACTGCAGACTCTTCACAAAACTTGGAAACTAGTAGAATCTGCACTTGGTGAGACACTAAACATCAACAGTCTGCAAACAGGATAGGACAAGACAGGGCAGGGCAAAAGAGTATTGCATGTGCACTTCAATGGAGACCAGGAATCTCACACACGTTCAACTCTGGAGGACTCACATGTGGATCTTGATGAGGTGACACAAAGGGAAAGGATGATGGGTGCGCAGGTAGAAATAACAAGGTGCAGAGCTGGATGAACACAGCAGGCC